GTTACCTTCATATCTCCAATTTTCTTGAAGAGATCCCTGGTCCTCCCTATTCTATTGTTTTCTTTTATTTCTTTGCACTGTTCATTTAAGAAGGCATTCTTATCTCTTCTGGCTATTCTCTGGAATTCTGCATTCAATTGTTTGTATCTTTCTCTTTCTCCCTTACCTTTCGCTTCCCTTTTTTCCTCAGCTATTTGTAAAGCTTCCTCAGACAGCCATTTTGCTTTCTTGCATTTCTTTTTCTTTGGGATGGTTTTAGTTGCTGCCTCTTTTACAATGTTGCAAACCTCCTTCCATAGTTCTTCAGGCACTCGTCTATCAGATCTAATTCTAATATGTTGAGATCCTAAGACCAAGTCCCATAACAGCGTAGATACAGTGAGACATCATATCGATCTTTCTGCCTTCTTTATCCACCGGGGTAGAGTGTTCCTTGTTTTGCCTTCCTTGGGAGGATTCAATGACTATGGAGTTCAGCTGAGGATGTTTTAGAAGAAATGGGATGTCCTGTTCCCGAACTTTGTACATCCCCTCTAAGCGTCTGGAGGTGGGATGTGGGTGGTTAGGCAGCTGCCTGGTGTCAGTCATTGCCTGCCTAAGTGTGGAAATGAAAGGCAGGGCGATAGACAATGAGTTCTCTTTATGAAAGATATTGTAAATGTTGTCCTGGTTAGGATCTATTCGCTGCTGCACATCTATTTCCAGTAATTTGGTTGTACAGGAGACCAACTCAGAGAAAGTTCCCTGAGAGTCACCTGGAGATCCAGGGCCCTGGGTGGAGATGACTGCATCAGGAGATGTGGAGGCCTGTTTAGAATCCTCAGAGTCTGAGTCAGAGATGTATATGGTGAACTGGATGAAGACCCACCAGGAGATGTTGGAGGATTGTCAAGCACTGCAGTGGAGGTTGACAGTGCATCTCTTGACACCGAGTGAGGGGGAGAGTGATGGAGACACATTGGTGGTCGTGGGAAGTTTCTGTATGGGGGATAGTAATTTTCTGTATGGGGGATAAGGCTGGTAGAAGTGGTCAGGGTCAAATTTCCCGTAAGGGAGGGGAACCCAGTACCATGACGGCTGTGGAGCCAAAGGTTGAGGCAGTAAGAGGGACAACGGGCACTGGGGTGCCCTTGGAGAGCCCTCTGGAAATGACTGAGCCATGGGTGTAGGTATCGGCAATCTTGCAGGTGGGTCTTCAATTCCCAGTTGGGGAGGAGATTCACAGATTTCTCCATCTGAGATCAAACCTCTGGTCACAGGATCGGGACTGAAGTGCGGAAACCCGCGGGGGTGACAATGGAGGAGGCACTTGCATAAGGGACTGACGGCTTGGAGCTTTGGCTGGGACCAAGATCGATATGGTGGTCAGCCATGAGCGGGGCAGCTTATCGTGCTTTTTGTGCTGATGCTCAGACTTGTTGAGTTTGTCCTTCTTAGGACGTTTGGACTTTGAACCCAACATGCTTCCAATTCTCCTTATGTTTGTGGGAAGAGGAGCACTTTCCATCCTTGTTGACAGGAACACCTTCAGATGGGCAGGCAGAGGCAGGTTTTGATGGTCCCGCAGCTGCAGAAGAGCTGGTCTTTGCTGAGACCTGCTTCATTGTGACCAGTGCTTGGTCCCAAAGCATTTTTCGCAGCCTGTTTTCACTATTCCTGCAAGCCTGTCTAGTGAATGACTGGCAGTGGCTGCATTTATCAGTCCTGTGGCCTTCCCCAAGGCAGAGGAGACACAGGTCATGAGGGTCAGTGGGGGACATCTTGGCCCCACACTGAGAGCACTTACAGAAGGCTGCCCGCTGTGCCATTAAGAGAGGAAGAGAGAGAACACAGTGAACAAAAGTTTGTGCAGAAGAAGGATGAAAGAGGGGTATTTTTTTAATTTAATTTTTTTTAGGGGGTAGGGAATGGGGGGAACAGAAGGGTTTTAGGAACGGGGAAAACTGGGACAGGAGCTAACCAGTAAAGAGAAAGGAAGAATCAAGGCAAGTGAAATTTAACAAGGTAAGTAGGTATCTACAGCAGAGAGCAAAAAGGCCTGAGGTACATCAAACAGTGGTCATAAGCAGACTGGGGAAATGGTGGGCACTCTGTCCATTTATACTATGGTGGGGGAGGGGGGAGTTCCTGCCAAAACCATTAAATCTATCTATCTATCTATCTATCTATCTATCTATCTATCTATCTATCTATCTAAACAACTATTAAATCTTCCTGGCAACAGGAATTATGCATCACCCATAATGTGGCCATGATGAAGAATGAAGCATCTCAAATACCCAGGAAATAGCAGGAACCCTAAGACTGCTAAGAATTGCACCCCATAGACACCTGAGGAAATACCCCATATAACCACTTCTCCATAGCTTTGGGCTATAGAGGGGTTCAGAAAGAGGGAAGAACCCCAATGTGTGGCACCCTCATGTAAGGCAAAATGAAAATGTAACATAGCATGGCATGGCAAGGTAACATTAAATACATGCCCTAGATTTTTGTGGGAAACTGATATTGGAGCACCAGTTCCGGCAGCAGCATGGGGCCTGATCTAACAGAAGCAACCACTGAAGACGATCTCAAGAGTTAATGGGGTTCCTGTTTAAAATTAATCCAGAAGTAGCATCTTACATACACAAAACTACATCACATTAATGATGTTCTCATGCTGGATATTGTGCAGTGACAGAGGCTGCCTCTGTCACATGTTGTGGAAGTAGCTACAATTGCTTACCTTGTATAGGTGCAAAACGTGCCATGTAAGAATTTGCAAATACAAATGGTTCTCACTGTCTTGCTGCACTTAATGCAAGTGTGAAAAACAGGGTCATAATACATCTTAAATAACAAAAACTAGGTTGCTTGCTATGCCACAGAGTCATTTTTGCCTCATATGAGAATGTCACATGAAGCTTGCCTCATACTTCAGTTTGGAGTTGTTTTATATGAAAAATAGATTCTATGATTCTTTGAAAGATAGATGTTTATCTCATGTAGATATTTTGATATGAAGAAGGTCCCTAAAATCTTCTAATGATTTCCTATGACTACTCTGAATGCATTTATGTGGTCCATTCAGTATCCCCCTTTTTAGGACTTCCTGAGGAAGACCCTATCACTCCTCTGAAATGGAGTTTGGGAAGGTCAGCAGGTCTCCAAGATGTTGGATCCTACTGCTCTCGTGAGCTGAATCTGGGACTTGGGAGAAAGCTATAGGGTTGCACATCAGAATTTGTATTACATGTTGCAATGTTGGCCATTTTGGGATAATGTCTTCCAAAAATGGAGTTTTACAATGGACAATCTGACAAACTAAATAAGAAATAGCTTTCCTTTCTTATTTGCCTGGCAAAGCAGAGGAAACTGGTCTACATGAGGGATCATGTCATGAGAAAATCCAGAGAAAAATACAGATGTTTTTTCTATTGTGAGGCAAATAGCCCTATAGAATTGTATAAATGGTGCATCTAGTCCAGCATCCTATCCTTTACAGTGGCTAGTTTGATGCTTTGAGTCAACAGCCCTCTCCTACCCAGGTACCCATTTGCATCCCAGCAGCTGTATTCCATCCATGACATATTTCCTCTGATGCTGGAGGTTCCATATACCCACATGGCTAACCTGTACCTATGTTTTATGTCATTCTCTTGTAAAACCCTTTGAAAGACATCTTAAGCAACCAGTCTTGCAAAATTGTATGGTAGTGTCTTCTGCAAATTAATTAAACACTGTGGAAAAACATTTTTTTTAATTTGTCTGGAATCCATTGCTAATTCTTCTTTGTTCTGTAAGGGAAGTCATGTGGATCCTTTGCAGAAGTGGTGTGGATTCTTCAACAAAGATTATTTTTTTCTTAGATCAATAGTTTGGCCTTTAACAACATATTTCAACAGTTTATATGCAACCAATGTGAAGCTAAATGGTCCCAAATTTCCCTGTTCCTCCCAGTCCAGTTTTTAAAGTCAATATTTTAGAAACATAGAAACAGAGCGGGTCAGAAGGGGTCTCTCGGGCCATCTAGTCTGACCCCCGGCTCCAGCTGGCTCTGCTCACGACATGCCCACCATGTGCATGTCTAGCCTATCTTTGAACACCCTCACTGATGGGGTCTCAACCACCTCCCGTGGAAGCCCATTCCATACCCTCGGGGTCCTGTTAGGAAGTACTTCCTGGCTGCTTTCCTATCCTCTGGTAAGGAGGGGTGATATGAGTGACCAGTTGCATATTCTAGCTAGAATTCAATAACTCACTGTATCTGAATGAGTTAACAACACTCTGGTGTGTAAGGGCTAGATATCATGATTTATTCACTTTTATCAATCAGCTCCCTAACTATATTTTTTGTCACTTCTATTTAACTTTGTTCTTGAGGGGCCCTCCCTGAAAAAAATCACTTTGGATATGTCTATCTGTCTATCATTATCCACAGTAAACACATCATCTGCCAACCATTCATTTAGCCAGGCTGTAATCACCCTAACCAGATCAAGAAACCCTTCCACTCCTTTGTCTGCTAATGGTCCTGTTGTGGCCCCAGCTGGTTTCTTGCTTCTTGTGTTTTTAACAACATTTTTATTGCTTTTCTTAAATGTTTTTAGAAAATATCCTCTTCTCAGACTTGTTTTATTTGCTTTTGGATTCTTATTTATTTCATCTATATACTGTCCAATAGCCAAAGAATTCCAGGCAATTAGTCATGTTCTTTTGGACAGCTTAAATTTTGTTTTGCCAGAATCTGTGCTTCTTTTAGAGTTCATTGGGCAATAATTCTACTGTGTGTGTTAAGAAAGGCAGACCAAAAAGAATGGAGAATCCTTTGCCTTGGAACTCAGAGGTCCCTAAGCCACCTGTTTAAAATGTAAGCACCAAATTATTGCTTCTGCAGACACATGAAGGCATGCCAGCTTATGGGTACAAAGGTACTGAATGGATCTGGAGTTTTTTGAATAGATGAAATTTCCTGCTTAAGATAAGAGACATGTAAATATGTAAAGACTTTTACTTACGTGTATAAAGGGAGATGCTGGGTTCGAGAATATGGGCTAACACTGTTAAAGTTCAAAGACACATTAAATTAGTTAAACAGTTTCTTAAGAACATAACATCACTATGTGCACATTCTTAGGGCTAAATTAGATGTGATATCATTCAAGAAATTTGATGCATACATGCTTTTGAGTAAATAGCAAGCAGGCCCCCACATCCTGACTGGGGCCTTGGCAGGGGATGGAGGTTTAACCCTTTATCCTCCAATGTCATCTCAATCCAGATCTAGAGCCTTCACCTGATACTTATATTGGGTGGTAAGCTCCAGCTTAGTGCCAATACCTAGTTTGGTGCTTAAGCCACAAACAGAAGTTATAGAGAGAACCTCAAACAGTTCAGGGGGAAAATGTAAGGTAACAGTCTAGAATGAATGCAGCAGATTATACAAAACCGTAAGAGCACTGCCAGATCAGACCTGTGAAAGCAACTAGTTCAGTAGCTTCTTTTCAGTGTGATTACATAGATGACTCTGGGAAGCATACAATCAGGGCATGAAGGCAGCAGATTTAACAGAAGAACAATTAGCTTTTCATTTGCGCTTTTATAGGAATTTGATACAGAATTAGATATCCTGACATTCTTCGCCGTGGCCTCTGTGCATCACATATACGGGTGCTGCGCCTGCGCAGTGCCTAGGCCGGAACTAATGGTTTTTGGCAGGGAAAACTCCACTCCCTCCCCCCTACGTGGTATAAATAGAGCGGAGTGTCCGCCATTTTACTCAGTCTTTGAGACCGCCGTTCGCTGTGCCTCGTGCCTGTTAATGTCCCTCGCTAAGATCTTTGTGCTTACTGTCCGTTTTTACACTTTATCTCTTCCTACCTTATACTTCAAGTTTGTATCTCTTCCCTGTTTTTTCTTCCACTCTTTGTTTTTCTATTAAAACCCCCCCAAAACCAAAAATATTATCTTACCCTCTATACTGTCTTCTTTTTTCCTTTTCGTGATGGCGCAGCGAGCAGCATTCCGCAAATGTATTGAATGCGGATCCAAAATGTCGCCTGCGGATCCGCATGATCTATGCCTCCTCTGCCTTGGCAAGGGGCATAGAACTGACAAGTGTGGCCACTGCTTGGCCTTTACCAAGCAAGAGAGGAAGAATCGGGAGAACCGTCTCCGAAAACTCCTCTGGGACCAGGTCCTAATGCTATCGGACCAACTGCTGTTACGGCCTGGTTCCTCTTTGGCCACGCCTTCTCAGCGCTCCACCTCTACCGTGAGCGCCCCACCGAAGCGCCCCGCTTCGTCATCCGTTCCTCCACAGCGTCCTTTGGACGAAGGCGCCACTTCTATGGAGGCCCAGTTGCTACTTTCCTCCCCAGCTAAGAAGTGGGAGAAGCGCAAACACACTGGATTGGATAAACCTTCCTCCCATAAAAAACCCAGGAAGGAGAAGGTGGACAAGCCTGCTCGCAAGAGCAAGAAACCTGACCGCCCCAAACACGGGGGCTCGGGTTCATCGGGCTTCTCAGTACCGACTGCTGCCTCGGTACCGACCCCCCCGGGACTGGCACTGCAATCAGCCATGCAGGTGACTCTGCCAGGATCTCCCAGGCCAATTATCTGGCCTGAGAGTGTGCCACCTCAACAACTAGAGGAGCTGCTTCGGGAGTCCATCTCTGATGGCGAAATTAGATACTCCCCACCGAGGGAACATTCTTCGACCCCAATGCCAACGAATGAGCTGCCTGCAGACTCGCCCTCGCCTCCTCAGCGACGCAGCCATTCGTCTGAACGTCAGTATGAGGACTGGTTAATGCCCGGATATGGTGCCTATCCCGGCTGGGGTGGCTACCAACCCTATCCTTATTATCCTCGGGATCGTTGATCCCCATCAGTCCCGGGAGAAGTACCATCCACATCCAGGCGCGTGGAGAGAGGGCGTCCGACCTCGACTGAAAGTTCGTCCTCTAGTGACTGTCATCGTTATGGGGAAGACCCAGATGAGTTGGAGGTCGACTCTACATCCCCCGATGTGGTAATCTCCTCCCAAGGGCCTGCTTCACCCGATGAACCACACGTTTCCTTCTCAGAACTCATGTCTCGCCTCGTCCGGGCCCTCAAAATCGAAGCCCATCAAAGAGCCGACCCATCCACGGATCAGTTCTACGACGTCGTGAGAGGGGAGCAGTCCGCAGCCATAGCCCTGCTGCTGATCACTACACTACGCCAGGCTATGGCTCAGCCATGGGATCAACCAACTCAACCAGAAGCCACATCCCGCCGGTATGAGGCCCTGTACAGAGTTCGAGAGGACGACATCCCTTTCTTACTTCGCCACCGGAAACCAAACTCTGTTGTGGTTGAATCCTCCCAGGGTAGGGAGTCCAGGGGTCATACCATCCCTCGTGACAAGGATGGGAGGAAGATCGATATGCTTGCGCGCCGAGTCTATGCGGCCTCTGGGCTTGGCATACACATATCGAACTACGAAGCAACACTGGCACGTTACCAGTATTTTATTATGCAAAAACTGGATAACATTGCTTCCTCCCTCCCAGACCACCAAGCAGACATCGCCAGAGTCCTCATCAAAGAAGCGATGCAGGTGGCGGTGCAACAGTTGTCTACTGCAAGGCACCATGTAGACACCAATTCAAGGGCCCTCATCAATGCCATATCTTTACGCTGACACGCGTGGCTGCGCAATTGTAATTTACCCGAAGAAATGAAAAGGAGGATCGAGGAGATGCCATATGATGGTACCGGAATGTTCCACCAAAAGACCGACTGCAAGCTAAAGGCTATACATGAATCCTGTATGACTGCACGCCGCATGGAGCTTCCCCAACAGAAGTGTAAGTGGCAGTGGCCTCATTCCTCCCATCGCCAACAATACCAACCTTGCCAACAGTACCAGCAATGACAACAACGTCAGAGGCAGCAACCGCCGCAATGCTTCTCCCAGGGCCATCGACATTTCGACATCAATAAACACCAACGTTGACGGTCCCGGCAAATCATCCTCTCTCTTCCAACACCACCTTTCCCTCTCCCTTATGGGGACCGGCTCCAGGGCCGACTCCCCATTTGGGAGTCCATTACATCTTATAGGTGGGTGTTATCTATCATTCAGTTCGGGCATAGGATAGAATTCAATGTTGTCCCTCTGTCGAGCCCAATTTGTTTTACAACTTCTTCATTGGTGTTATGCGATGAAGTCTTTCAATTGCTTCGCAAGGGCGCAATTCGACAACCATTCTGCTCGGAGGAATGGCATGGATTCTACTCCAGATATTTTACGGTCCCGAAGAAGGACGGTGGTCTTCGTCCAATTCTGGACTTACGAAGTCTTAATAAGTACATCACCCCAAAGAAGTTTCGGATGACTTTACAGAATATCTTTCTGCTACTGAAGAGAGAGGATTGGTTCGCCTCACTCGATCTGAAGGATGCTTACTTTCATATTTCTATCCATCCATCTTATAGACACTTCCTACGTTTTGCTATTGGCTCCGATATGTTAGAGTTCACTGTTCTGCCTTTTGGTCTTGCTATGGCCCCTCGAGTTTTCACTAAGTGTATGGCACCAATATGCGCGTACTTACAGACACGGGGAGTGCAGATATACCCATATCTAGACGATTGGCTAATCGTTTCACAGACTAAACAAGGTCTCCTATCGGCTATGCACATGACCTGTGCTCTACTCGATGATCTTGGTCTCTGCATTAACCACGAGAAATCGTCCCTTATTCCCATGCAGGTCATCGACTTCATTGGAGCACGTCTTGACTCTATATGGGAACTAGCCTTCCTTCCTCCGGAACGTTGAGATATCTTACGCAGCCACATTCGTCGAATCCGACTGCATGGGACAGTTCCAGCCATATCCATTCAGAGACTACTGGGACACATGGCTGCTGCAGTTGCCATTGTCCCGTATGCCAGACTGCGTATGCGGCCCCTTCAACTTTTCTTCAATGCTTCATTTCACCTGCAACAGGATTCATCCAACAAATTGATTCGGATTCTGTTTGCGATCCTCCATACTCTGACTTGGTGAACTATGTCAACCAACCTCTCCATTGGCGTCCCATTTCGACTGCCTCAGCCAATGACAACCCTGTATACTGACGCATCACTCATCGGATGGGGTGCAACATGTTCGGGACTTCGGATCCAGGGCACTTGGATCCAATGAGAAGCAAGGAAACACATCAACGTCCTCGAACTTCAGGCAATTTTCAATGCCCTCAAGGCTCTCGAGACTGTGCGATGCCGTCAGGTTGTCCAGATTGCGTCAGACAACATACCTGCTGTCTTCTATATAAACAAGCAGGGCGGCACAAAATCATCAGTCCTAGCACGTCTATCGATGGACATTTGGGATTGGTGCATACCGAGGGGCATAATGCTCATAGCAATTCACCTGGTGGGAACCGACAACATCGAAGCAGACGTGTTGAGCAGACAGATGTTAACAACCCACAAGTGGGAGTTGGACAGACAAATTTGCACAAAACTCTTCCGCTTGTGGGGTTACCCAGAAATAGACCTGTTTGCCACCCAGAACAACAGGGTGTGTGCCCAGTACTGTTCCAGAGCGGGCATCGGATCGGGTTTGATGGGGGATGCTCTTATGGTCCCTTGGACCAACATGACATTTTATGCCTTCTCTCCAATCCCACTTCTAACAAAGGTGGTGGCGAGAATAGCTCAACACTGCGCCACAGGGATATTAATAACTCAATGGTGGCCGAGGCAGCCATGGTTTGCCACTCTTCTGCATCTATCCAAAGGAATGTTTCTTCGCCTTCCAAATATTCCTCAACTGTTGACGCAACAGTACAGAGCAATTCGGCATCCAGATATGACCTCCTTGAAGCTGACAGCATGGCGGATCGGCTACACCATCTTGCTGAGACGGTACTGACGATATCTTACTCTGTGAAGGAACCTGTTCAACGAACTGTACAACTGCGTCTTACCTCGGGTTCGACAACAATCACTTCCGTACCAACGGCTACTGACCAGGAAATTCGGACGATTCTCGAATCTG